GAAGCGGTGGCGAACTCTGCGCTTCTGTGGACACATGGGAGCGCCGGTACCCTGACAAAAGTTTCTAAGAGGCTCTGTGAATGTGAGTTTGTGCAATTTCGCATTCAGAGCAGCATTTGTTCCCTGTTCCTGAGGGCAGTGTTAAATTGTGGGGGAATTAATGATTAAAAACAGCAACTGTCTCCTTCATTACAAGGAAGGCTGCGCTAACAGAGTTGGCCTCTGCGGATAACCTGAATAACAGCCTCCTGACCAGAATCTTAAACATCCAAACCCAAAAACACACTGGAAAACGCACTGTTAGCCAAGCCTGGCACGCACTGACCTGCAGGCCAACTGTGTGAAGTGATGCACATCGACCCTCACGGTGCCTCAGTTCAGCCACTATTCACCAATTTCTTACACTGTATCTCCATAGCTTGTACATGGGCTGTTGCAATACAGTACCATCTCTAACTGAAACATTTGCTAAATGGAACAGACATGCTAGCAGAAAGTACCTGTACGTAAAGCTAGCCATACAACGTCTAGAACAATTTGAAAGCCTTAGTAGCATAATGTAAATTATAATAATACTGCATGGATATGCAGTTACACAATGACAGACATCTAACTTATTATGAAAAATGTCCATAATTCATGTCAATGTTTTCGCTTCTTTTGATGGCACCTCCTCTTCCACTGCATATGACAGCCTGCAGCCGCTGAGTGCAAACAATGTGCTAAATTCCACACTTTTCCACAATTTCAGTGGTTCTAACACCTTTTGAGAATTACCATTACACTAAACCTGCATATTCCAGGATGATAAAATTACTAAAAGTGGCTAGCAAACTATGGAAGTACTCCATTTCAGACAGCTGTGATGACCAGTCCGGCTCCTTTGTCTCCAAAACGGCTCTTCATTCAGTAGCATTGCCTTTTTTGCTTCCCAAAGTGACTTTTCAATTGACAAAAATTGTATCACGTTCGATTTAAAACCCACAACAAAAACATCAGATGTTAAGTAGAACCACTAGATGAATTTTGAAAAGCAAGTTTTAGAATATAAGCGGACACACAAAATGCAGGCAAATCCATTAATCAGTAATTAAAAGGCAAACATTACATGAAAACCACCAAAAAAGAAAAACCAGAGCCAAACTAACATAACAAGCAGGAGGTCTGGGGGTAATAAAGGGGAGAAGGCCTGTTCAAAGACAATCCAGGAGAGGGTCCTGTGATTTTTATCTACCGCATCATAAAAACTGCCCATTTGTTTTGTCCTAATCTACAAAAAAAATAAAACAAAATAAAAAAGTTCGCCCCCTCAACACAAGCTAGCTCTCAACGTTAAAAAGAGCTGACTCAAAGAGCCAACTTGTTCGTGAAAGACACATCACTATAACACATGGTCTGCATACAGTCAAAAAAAAACATTCCTATATTATTTTTGGATTGGTTGTACAACTACAGGAAACCCTTTAATCAGAACCTTTTCATAACATAACTTAAACAAACATTCATCATATTTGCAGGAGTCATTTACAACCAGAGTTCTCTGAAAAAGCTATTTTCTGTAAGGTTCTTAAGGGAAGCAAGAGTGGTTCTTCCCACTGCTGCCCAAATTTAGTCATGATGTTCAACTTAGCCCACTAGACAGTTAACCCAACCCCAACCTCACCCAATCGAAGAAGACAAATAAAAACTACCTACCTTCCATTACAAACACTGCGCTTTGCCCCCTGGCCCTCTAAGAACACCTCTGTTCTACGGCATCACCTCAAAAGAGCAAATTTTTAGCAAAGTGTAAAGGACGTAGAGATCTGTTTTCTCTTTAATGCTTCTAGTTTTCAGTTCCCCAAAATCCGCACACAACATTACACCCCACGGACCCCACGGCGTCGGACTTTCAAAACATCTCCACTCTCATTTTTACCCAGTGGGACCTCTGAGCTGCACCGTCTCTGTCCAGCAGGTAAAACTTCAGAGAAATACTTGGCTGTCTAGTGTGTACTTTTTTCCCTCCTGGACTTCAGTTCTTGGCGCAGGGAGACAGTTTAAAAATCCTGCCAGATAACACTCAGAGGGAGCGTGAACAGCACTTCAGATTCCACCAGGCCAAAATAGAGCCGAGCCGATTAGAGCTTGAAGGAAGAGTGATGTGGGGGGCAGACAGGGAGGGAGCACAACACAGTACACACATGAAGGGCAGTGAAGACAGAAGTCAAACTGAATGTGTGAGCGATTATCTGCTGGGGGTGTGAGTGCATCTATATGGTTTAACACGGGGTGTGTCTGAGGTCAGGGAGGGATGGAACATTGTGCACATTTGAAAAACCAGCAGTTTGCAAAACTGGAGTTCAAAAAATAATTAAAAGCTACACAGAAAATGGGACTTAGACCTGGTAGACACCAAAACTGTCCCCATCAGATAAACAGCACTTAAAGCTTTCATCTTTGAGAGAGAGGAGAAAATCAAGCTGCTTCAGATCTGAAAACATCCACAGGTGTTTCTGTCCATCCTTCCACTGTGAGAAGTCGACTCACCGCTATGGGTCTGAAAGGATGTGTAGCTGTTCAAGAAGAACTTCACTGAGAAAAGGAGACGGACACACCAAACGAAGAAGCTGAACAATGGACTGACCACCCCAGAGTCCAGACCTCAACACCACTGAATGTGTATTATTTGGATTGTGAGAAGCAGAAAATGCAAAACCAACTTCAAGACCTCAATTTTGGAGGTGTGGAAAAACATCCCTGCAGATTTCTTTGAAAAACTGAAAGAATCTCCTAAAAAAATAAATAATTTCATGACACATGGCCCAGCAGAAACGGTCCAAAATTCTTTGAAATGAAATCTCTTACATTAAAGTTAAGATTACCATTGCAAGTTAACACTACCAATTTGGAGACAGAAGGTTTTGATCCCACAGCGACAATATGCTCTCTGCCCCTCCCCCCATGCTGAAAAACGAATAATTTTGATTGGAAATTAAACGAAGGGTGATCTCTAATTACTATATATATATATATATATATATATATATATATATATATATATATATATATATATATATATATATATATATATGGTTTATCTGTTTGAGGTCAGAGGGAGGGATGGGAGTCTTCTCCCTGTGTAGGTATTTGAGGTCTGGGGATGCTATTGGAGGATTCTGATCTTTAAAGGGCTTCTCCACAAAGCAGCTTTAACCCCTCCCAGATGGCCATCGTCTTTAGGCTGCTCATTTGCGGATTTTCTCCAGCTCTGTAATTAAAAAACACAAAAACCTGGACCATCATGCACGTGAACAACACACCATGCCCATGGGGCTACTCCCGCTGACTCAACTGGACACAACATTAAATAACAGCCTTGGCCCTCGGCACACAAGAAGAACGTGTGCCTAATTTTAGAAACAATTACTCTAATGAACACTGTGACGGCATTCAGCCGGTGTAGTGTCTTACACAGCCCGCTGTGAGCCTTATGTAACCACATCACCAGCGTTCTGATGCCTCCGCTTAGACTAGCTTATCTTATGTAACAGGGCAGAGAGAAAAAGTGAAAGAGGGGGACAGAGATAAAGGAAAGACGGGAGAGAGAGGCTTCCCCAGGACAGCAGCTTTGGCCTCATGCTGTGGCGTGTGAACTCTTAACGACAACGTGATTCAGGCATGTTCTGTACCAGAGCGAAGTCTAAACAAGGTCCGACATGCCTCTTTTCTCCATTCTCCTTCAGGGTTTTTGTTTAATGGCAGTTGCAAGTCTTTGTGACGTAATTACAAACAGATCAACCATGGACGCGGGCGGCGTCCACAACCACTACCACACTGAATACTAAGTAAAGTACACCATGATTAGTACTGTATGCACTGTGCAGCATGTATAGCACAGTAATGTGTGGTTTTGGACACAGCCACTGTCTGAACAACCATGGTTATTATACAACACTAGGCCTAATGTTAGCCAAATTACCAACAGCATGGCAGAAATAATAGCTAGAGCTACAATTATTAGCTAGAACAACTAATAACAAGCTAGCTATAGTAAAAGTTGGCTAGCTACAATCATTAACTAAAAGAAGCAACGGCAAGCTAACTACAATAAATAATAGCTGGCTACACTGGCTAAAAGAAATAAGAGCAGGTTAGTTACAATGAAAGCTAGCTAGCAATCATTTTTAGCAGGAATATGCAAGCTAGCTACAATAAAAGCTAGCTAGCTGCGACATAGCTAGAAGAAACCACAGAAAGCTAGCTACAATAATTAGCAGTCTCTAGTTCATAGTTCATTACGGCACTTAAAACGTTTTTTTGGAGAAATGCTGGCCAACACTCAAAGGAACAAACGAAAGAGAAAAAGGTACAAATTGTGTTTTAGCTACATTTATCTTTAATTTAATTTACTTTGTGCTCAAGTGTCACTTTTACATCCACGCTATGCTAACCCATTACAGGCCACGTGATGCCTCACTCATCTCTAATCATTAGGCCATCTGAGGTGAATGAATTGTCAGCTATATATGAAATCAAGACGGAGCTCAAAGCCCATTAAATACCCTGAAGACTCAAACAGTAGAGAAAAGAGCAGCAACAAAGCAACATGGTACACAAGACAAAGACAAAAGATACACCAGCTCAATGTGAATTTCCTATCGACCTAAAAACGTGTTCTTGGTGTGTGAGCGCTGTGCAGCTTCCGGGTGTTTGTGATTGTATATGCACGCGAGAGCTATTTGATGCAACGCACCCAAGCCTGATATAAATGTAGGGCAAAGGTGACAACACAGAGGGTTAGAATGTGAGCATAGACTCATCTCTCTCTCTCACACACACACACACACGCTTGCATGTCAACACACACGCGCTGGCTCGGTGGCCTTGCCAGTGGGCGAACAAAGAAGTTTTTTCACTGGGTTTTTCACTCGTGCCTTCCAGTCAGAACTGAGTCAGGAATGCCAGGCTGAAAACAGAGGCAGCCATCTGCATTCTGAAACGCTCACTCTTCCTCTCAGCGCACTGTCGCCACACGCTTTCCGCTCACCGCGGGACACAAAGACGCAGGCGAACTGGCACCGGCTGCCTCCGCGGCCTCTAACTGTGAGGCTGAGTGTGTGTATGAAAGCCCAAAATGAGTTTTCCTAGGTGATATAATCCATGCATGAAGAGCGCATCCATTCTGCCGTTGAACTTTTCTCCTTTAAAGCGACAGTTTGGACAAAAAACCCAAAAAGTTGCACAACATTTCCCCTTTATCCCCCCCAAAGCACAATTAATCTGCCAAGACATGTTCGGTGTCCGAAGGTTGCTTATTTAGTTTTGCACTGGAGCTACGAGGCTAACAAGCAATGTTTAAAGAGAATGCCACTGATTGAAATACTCCACTCTAGAGACACAAAGTCAGAATTGTTCACAATGGTGGTGATAGGAACCAGGCGTCTGAAGAGTTTAATGCCTCAAAGCTCTCACACGAAATCGTTATGAATACACTGCCTGACGTCTGATACTTTGTTTTACGATAGTTTTGAAAAAAAAGTTTTGGCCTAAAACACTTTTTATAATCCGTTCGTGGCCCGAGAAGCACACGCAGGGCTTTGTAAGGCAAAATGTTACTCAAAGAAAACTTAAACACTTCACATCAAGTCACTCTGAATGACTCTTTACTCCTCAATGATTATTTATGCAGAAAATCACTGGAGTTCCCTTTTAAGTCATTTCAAAAAGACATGCTCAACAGGTTTCAGATACATTTCAATGCTAACTGATGTACATATCGCTGTTGTTGGAAGAAAAACTCGTATCTCCAAAACGGTAACTTTACAGGAGAAGGAAAAAACATACTTTACTTTCAATGTAAGTCATTTGACACCAGTCATTTTGGGTCGTTTCATTTGGTCCATTCATCATGAAATTTACACACAATGTAAAGAGCAACAGGCATTTTCACATTATATCAAAAACTGAAATGACAAAAATGGAGATACAGGGTTTTCTTCCGACACCAGCGATATATAGTTGCAGGCAAAAGTTACAGCATCCCTGGTGAAATTACATGCTTCGTTGAAGTGTAAATAAATGAACATCTTCCACAAAGAACACATTTCTATGCACAATTACAGTTTATCTGCATACTGGGGAAAAAATAAAACATAAAATGCAGCGTTTGCAAAAGTTATGGCACATCTTATGTGCAATTAAACAAACTGTACACTAAATTGTGCAGAAAAATACCATATAGAAGTGTGTTCTCTGTAGAGGATGTGTTCACTTATTGTCACTAGAAAATAAACAAAACATGTAATCTGACTGGAGGTGTTAAAACTTTCGCATAAGACTGCAAGCACATATTTCTTCAAATTCAAAATGTATGTGCAATATGTCAACATGTAATGTCTTAGCACGAAAATTCAAAATGTAGAAAAATACATACTACATACTTCCTAACATCCACACGTCACAATCCTTTTACTGTATTTAAATACATGACAATATACTGAAATCTGAACACATTCAAATATATGTATGTGTACATTCACATATGTCAGAAACATATGTAAATATATTTCCTTTGCATATGAGTGAGAGGTCAATACTTTAGCTATTTTAGCTTCACAGCTCCAGAGCAAAACTAAAGATGCTTCTTTCCAAACATCTCTTGGCTGATCCGCTATATTTGGGGGGTAAAGCAGGAAACTATTACATTTTATTTTCAACTTCAACTTCTACTTTTTGAGGCCTTGCCTTTTCCAGTATGCACACATGACTGTTAGGGGCGAGACCCTCGCCAAGAGGGCCATCATTTCAAATCTCTCATCTCAAATTATCCTCACATGCAGCCTCCGTGTTTTCTGTGCCCAGTTATTTCACCCTGGCCTCCGTCCAGACTCGTGTCCTTTCTGGCTTAAGTGATATTACATCTGGCTGTGAGGGTGGAGAAACCTCTCTTAATCAGCCTGATAGCCATCTGTTTATGACCCACACTGAGGTCCCAGAGGTAAGAGGAAGACCAAATGGCCATCCAACAAGGCCTCTAAACTCTGAAATGTCCAGTAACCACAAATGACCACAAATACACAAGAACTGTGTTTAGACTGTGAGGGGAACCCCATGAAGCGAGCATGCTGGAGGGGAAGGACCGAGAGGGGGAACTGAGCTAGAAGTCAGAAAGTGGACATGCCTGGAGAGCACGAAGCACCAGGCAACAAATCCTCCCCCAGGTCAAACACCACAGAATACAGCAGTCTCCACAGGCTGATAAGAGCTGGAGAAAGGCTGCTTGCTGACGGGGGTTGTAGCCTTGAAGATACAGGCATTAAACTGATCTGTTCTGTAATATAAAACACTGCATCATTGTACAAATACCCATAACACTGTAACACACTGTACACCACAGTAAATCTAAGAGGACAATATAACGATGTGCTATCATGCTCGTGATAAATTACATTATAATATGCTTTTCTGGGTATCACTGGTGTCACTGGTTCTTGAGAACACTGAAAAACTATAAATAATGCTGTATTTTGCCGTATTGCCAAAGGGAAATTCCAATTTTTCACAATTTTTGGTTAAGATGTAAACAAAAGACATTCAGAGTGGTCTCACGTGAAATGTGTCGTTCTAGATATACTTACCGAGAGAAATGTTCACAGTGGTGGTGACAGTAACCAGATGTCTGATAAACTTTAATGCTTCTAAATCTAAACATTAAATAGCATTGAATACACTGCCTGAGACATTGTTTACAATAGTTTTAAGTTTTTTCAATGGCAGAGAGATACATGCAGAACGTTGTGAGGCAAAAAGTTACAAAAAGAAAACTTTTCTACCCCCCCAGATTTACACTATTCTATCATCAACATTACATATAAAAACTCATGTAGGTTCACTGGTGGTTTTGGATAGTAAATAAAATGGCTATTTGTGTTGTAGACATGGCAACCCCTGGTTCCTATCACCACCACTGTAAAGAAAGCGGAGTCGCTACATTTCTCTACAATGAAGCATTTCATTTCAAACCATTCTGAATGACTGGTCATTCACTAAATTATGCAGAAATTTGGAAAAATCATTGGACTTTCCCATTAATGCATCCCAAACCTTCACATATTTACTTTTTTTTTTTCCCCACACTTACTCGTACTGTATTATACTAGAACATCTGCCAACATGCTGGCTTACTATGTTTTGTGGAAATCCACAAGTTCTTTGAGCATGAAACAAAATTCAGGTTCTAAAAGCCTCATTAAAGCCCGCACAGAATGACTCAGACTTAGGAGGCCAGGGGGACCCTATTTATATCATCAAAGACAGAGAGAATCTGGCGCTGAGAAAGAAAGTCTTGTCCAGGCACGTGTCCCCCACCCTCTCAGCTGGAGACCCAGAAACTCCGGAGAACAACCAGCAGACACAAAGGGAATCTGTTACGTGACACGCGTCAGAACATTTCCACCAAATTATAATTATCTTCAGCCACTTTGTGCAGAAGCTTTGAAACTCCAGGTCAATGGGAAAGCGTCTGACTGGAGAACTAGAGGGACCAACTGGGTTCGATCTGTTGAATTAAACTTTGTGAGCTGCTAAGGGACAGTTTAGAGTGGTATTTTTTATTTCCTTGTCCAGTTATTCTTCCTTTTTTTTTTTAAAAAAAAAAGAAAGGGGAAATAAGTACAAAAGACTGTGGTCCATGTGTGATCTATTCTCCTTTTTTATTTTTGGGCTATTTCACTTGAAACAAGCATCCCATTTTGCTCAGATTAACAAAATGGATGTTTTGAAATTGCCAACAAGCGGGAAAAAGGCAAAAAACAAAAATACATATCCGCTCAAACAAACGCTGCGGATGGGGAACAGGCCCGGCTTTGCCTCAGGGGTGAGAGACTTTCAGCAGGGATCAAATATCCAGCTGCCTCCAGGGCCCCATGTGCTGCACAATGACCTAGAGTTACCCTGAGGGAGTGAGGTTACTATAGGACGTTCCACTGTACCGGAAAGCAAAAAAATAAAACAAACTTCACAGGCTCTACTGGGTGCCACAGCGCTTTTCACAGCCCCCTGTCTCATGACTTCTGCTGATGCATATCTGAAGTAGCTCTTAAGGAGACATTGCTGTGCATGAATTTTTAATATACAACACGACCCAGATTTTTTTTTTCTTAAGCCGTAGCCTAAAATGAGCCAACTACAAAAGAATGAGGCATGCGTTCTGCATTAGCTAGTTAGCGCGGGGTAGGAAACTCTGCGTTTCTCTATCAGTCTCTGTCACAACCGCATGTACTTCCCCGTTTCTCAAAGCTGCCAATTATTCACCCACAAGCTCACTCGTTCTTCCTGCTCCGAGGTAAAGAGCAGAATTAACCGCAACAGCATATGTGCCCAAGCGCACCTTCATTTGCTCACACATACAAACGAAAAGGTTTCCCTCTCTGTACTGGCTTACCTGGTTTGCTCTTGCAGTATTAGATGAGGTTCCACAAAGAACTTGACCCTCAGTCGGAGCCTGCACGGTGTCAGATTGTCCATCTGCTGGGAGATTCTGTTCCTCAGGTTCAGCCACAGGTTCTCGCCTTTACTGCCGGAGAACTGCAGGCCAAAATAGTCCACCTCTATGATGCCCAACCGCCTACATACCTGCAGATAGAGCACATTCAGTCAATGCAAGGACTGCAGAGAGCATGCACCTTTATGATGATCTAAAATAGACCCGACTAGCAAGAAAGCTACATCATGAGACAAGGTGAGGTCAGATACTGGACAACTCTGAGGAGATTTAAACTAGATGCATTTCCCCTCATTTGCATCCAAATTTCACCCTCAGGGTTCACAGTGGTGGTGATAGGAACCAGACGGCTGAAGAGTTTAATGCCTCTAAAAGCTCCCTCAGAGAAAGCTTTTACGTGGCATGGTTACAATGTGCTGCCCTAATGGCTGAGACATTGTTTTATGTCATATTCGTAAATCCATTCATGGCGGAGAGATACATGCAGGATGACGTGAGGCAAAGTAGTCCGCAGCAAAAACTTTTGTTTTTGTGGATTTTACACTATTTTACTTTTAATCAACATTATATGTAAAACCCAGAGAACATGTCCAGGTGGTTTTGGACAGTAAATCAAATGGCTATATATCACTGCTGTCGGACCGAAACCTCATTTCTCCATTTATGTCATTTTTCAGTTTAACATAATTTAAAAATACCTACTGTCCTTTATATGGTGTGTAAATTTCACACTGAATAGACCAAAAGAAATGGCCCAAAATAACTTAACTGGGAAAAATGTCTGGTTCCATTGACTTACATTAAAAGTAAAGCATGTTTTTCCTCCTCCTGTAAAAGTTACCATTTTGGAGATACAAGGTTTTGGTCCGACAGCAGCGATATGTTGTAGCCATCAAGACTCCTGGTTCCTATCACCAACACTGTAAAGAAGTCAGCAAGTTTCTGCACGGTGAACCACTTCACATCAAACCACTCTGAGTGTTTTTAACAAAAGTTGAATTACACAGAACTGATGGAAAATTCCCCTTTAATTTATTCCCAGTGATTTAAAACAGCTTCAACATTTTTCCTAAAACTATAACAAACACCAAAAAACCCCAAAAACAAACAAACAAAACAAAAAACCAGCTTCAAACTGACAAAGATCAACACAAGCGCTCTGAATACATTATGCTGGCCTTGCTGATTGGCTAATCTGTTAATTGAAAGAAAAGGCATTAATTGGATTAATCAGGTCAGTTATCTGGCTGATTGTACACAACAAATTCGAGTGTTTGGCGATGGGCCACGCGTTTCTGACTCTAGTTGACAGGATGTGCTCAGACTCAGCATCATGTTACAGCGAAAACTGATGAAACTATACAGATGAACTATAGTAACCCCGGCCATGCCGCCAACAGCCAACAGCCCAGGCAGTGACAACACAACGCTCGAGCAACCAGAGCATGAAAACGCACTCAAAACTCAGTCAGGAGTTCATTTTCACTGAAAAACTGCAGCATTTATTGTAGCATTAAATTAGCGTTTAAACTCCAACAGCCAGGCTTAGACCTGCCTGGCACTAAATCTATGTAGGTATGATTAATTTGGTTGTTGGAAACCTAAAAAGGTCTCGAAGGTTCTCTGGTACCACCAAAACATCCATCATAACACTCAGCGACGAGGCTTAAATTGGCTTCTCGTTCGAATTTCCCGTTCCACCTTAAATGGTGCAGCTGCACCATTTAAGGTGGAACGGGAAATTCGAACGAGAAGCCAACTTCAGCCTCAATTCTTCTCTGTTTCTGTTTGTCAGCAAGAAACACAACCAGCCTAACATGGCAGCCTGACGGTGCTGTCGATACCCTCAGGTTCCAACGTGCTAAAAGCCTGAACTAACTCACCTTATTCAGACAGTCCTCTCCATTCGCCTTCGCGTCCACTTCCACCTCCATGACCACCGAGTCCGGCCGTGTTATATGGCAGAGCATTTTTGGAGCGTTGTTTTTCTCTTTGGTCTACCGGTCCTGCAGTAGAAGAAGAAAAAAAAAACATAAAAAGACCTCGCTTGCCTTCCTCTCTTCCTCTAGCGCTGTCTTTCTCTCACGACACCCTACATCAAGCCCTCTCTCACTTTCTAAACCCCCTCTCACTCTCTCCCTGTCTCACTCTTTCTGTTTCTCCCTCGGTCCCAGCTGTATATGAATGAATTGGCGTGGAAGCTCCGCCCATTTTCAGCCCGGCCAATGACACCGACTCAGCGCTAGGTAATGTTTTTACCACCCGCATTCGGGCATGGCCCGCCTCCTCTGCTGTGATTGGCTAGTTGAACAGAATCTCCAACGTTGTGATTGGCTATCAATTAACAATTAGCTCAGATTAGCCAGTCCTAACGCAAGGGGAGGGGCTGGACGGAAAACGGGTGGTACGACTCGTTGAGACAAACCCTGCGCCTCACTGGCGCCCCTCAGCGTCCATGCAGAACTGCCCCAGTCGAGTCTTCAGACTTATTCTGGCTGTCCACTTCTTGGGAAACACCTGTACGTCATCTCACTGGCCACTGTATGAGATCTGTCTATGTATCTCATATTACAATTACAGATTGTTGTTATGCACGGCTTATCCACCTCATTCAGTTGCTGACCACAGGACTGCTGTTGACCAGATGTTGTGTGGGGGGTGGACAAAGCACAACACACTCATTTATCAACACATATTGGTAATATGTTATTAGTGCCAATGATCATATCTGATTTGACCTCCATTTATTTTTCAATGCCATTTTCCACTTGTTTGTATCGTCCAATACCGAGAACAGATTTCATCACTAATGAAAAACAAGCAAATTTTTGGTCAAATTATAGTTCTTTAATACAATTACATAATTGCTAAATAATATTTACTCAAAGCTTAAGTTAGCTTTCGGAATGTCCACCAATATTTGGCGCATCTACTGTTTGCCTTAATAACAGCTTGAATTATTTCTACAGGAGAAGCCAGATTATTTCAGCACTTTTTAAAAAGGCAGAGTACATTTAATCTTTGACCTTTTCAAATGTTCAGTGAAATTAAAGGAATACTTTACTGGAGTACGAATGCTGTACGCGTTTTGTTTGTGGCTGCAAAGTTTTTCTGTTGTTGACCAAAAACCAGCTGAGAGACTTTGGGTCACAGCAGCAAAGCTTGCCTAAGAGTTTGGAGTTTGTCTAGGCTGCAGGATGGGGAGCTTTGCACCATGGTCGTGGAGTTTTTTGGATTACTGACCAAGAGACTTTGCATTGCCATGGGGGAGGTTGACTGAGCACAGGCCAAGAGACTCTACATTGTCAAGGAAGAGAGACTGCATCGCGGTGAAAGAGTTTGACTGGGCCGCAGGCTGGGAGTCTCTACGTTGCAGTGGAGGAGTTTGACTGGGCCGTGGGCTGGGAGTCTCTACATTACAGTGGAGGAGTTTGACTGGGCAGCAGGCCAAGAGATTCTAAATCGTAGTGGAGGAGTTTGACCAGGCTGCGAGCTGAGAGACTATACTTTGCGGTGGAAGAGTTTGACTGGGCTGCAGGCTGATAGACATTACGGTGAAGGAGTGCATATAAACATATTTCAGTCTGTTCTCTGTAGAGGATGTGTTTACTTATTTTCACTTAGAAAATAAACTGTTGTTTATTTGCGGATGTTCAAACATCCAAACATTCAAAAGTGTGTTTTGAGTCAACAAGTTTTTCTGTTCTTTTCTAAGTAGAGGAAAATACACTGAAATGATTATGGTAATCCATCATATGTTACAGATGCAGCAGGTTGAAAAACACTGGAGCATTCCTTTCATGTCTGGTGAGTGTTTTTCCAAAAAAGGATTTCTCAAACAGCTGGAAAAAAAGAATTTTCTGAAATAACTAGTATCAGCTGTTCCGCTGAATAAAATCTTCCTTTAGCTTCTTATAAGACACAGAATGAAAACAAGTCTTGGTAGTGGAATTCAGACTTTTGGATCCTATTGTGGGCAGAACATCAAAATAGGCCCAAAGCTGAAGTTTTGGATTCAGCCTAGCACAATTAGTTTGACAAAGCCATGGACTCGTCTCCTGCCCGAGGACAGCACAGAGAGACAGTGTTCCGCAGGCTGGAGTTTACTGCTCTCATATCTAATACATATCCACTCCTCAGCAGAGCGCATGCTGTTGACAGTGTGTCAGCAGTCAAGGTCAGACGTTACCCAGACAGCTCCCAAAATAAGAAACAGATTCAGCTATTCAGAAAGCCGCGCACTGAGATGCATTTACTGTCTGTTTAAGTAATTATACAGTTTCTTATTGCAAATGTAGTCAATCAGCCAGGACATGCTTGGCGCCTGAAGCTTGCTTCTTAGTTTTACACTGGAGCTATTTGTTAGCTGCTGTGGCTAATAAATAATGGAAACTTGTACACCACTAATTAGCACTATACAAAACTGTAAGTCTAAATCATCACATGCTTGGCTTGAACTGCGGTGAGCTGTTCAGTAATCTCAAATAGACTTGCGTAGGTGGTTTCTGCTGATGTATGATGTAAAAAAATGGACCAAAGTTTGTTGCACGGCTAAAAAGAGTAGTTGCAACTTCCTTGAACCATGAACTCTGTCTGTATTTTTAACCATTTTCACTCATGATGTTTGTCTGAGATCAGTTAAAGAGAATTCCACTGATCTGCATAATTATATGGTTAAAATAATGAAGTCGTTCAGAGTGGTTTGGTGTGAAATGCTCCATTCTAGAGTTGTTATTGTTCACAGTGGTGGTGATAGGAACCAGACGTCCACCTCTAAAAGCTCCCTCACAGAAAGTTATTACATGAATTGGTTATGAATACACTGTGTGGTGTCTGAGACGTTTTCTGGTAGTTTTGAGACTTTTGGCCTAAAGCATATTTTAACCCTTTTTTACAGTCATATTCCCACTGTTTTAGAGGGACCTCAATTGAACGATGCATTTTTTACTTCAATAGCATTGATGGAATGTATTTTGAATGGAAATGTCTATACAGAACCAAAGCATACTAGATTTTCCTCTTCATAGTGAGCAAGTCAACATTTATAAGCTATTGTGTTATGTTCAAATACTGTTTTTTATGGTAGCAGTTATACAGGAATTGTTTAAAATAAAGAAGCTGCAGTTCTTTTGCTTTATCTTAGCATGGAGAAGTGCGGATGGTGTTCACAGTAGGAGGTTCTCTTTCACCCCTATTGCTTGCTAGCAGCTCAACAATCAAATTCTACTGGCGAATTGACCACTAGGAGAAAGAAGCTACACTCTGTTCATGGTAGGGAGGTACATGCAGTGAAACAGTCAGTGAAATTCCCCAAGCCAAGTGTGTAGGTTTAGACACGCAGTATAAGCGTCCAATTTTTGGCTCATCACTCCAGTGCAAAACTAAACAAACAAACTTCAGATACCAAGCAGGCCTTGGCTGATCAACTACTTTGGGTCAAAGGTGGAAACTGTGTAAATTAGATTTTTTTGCCAAACTGTCTCTTTAAGTGCTTCGTTCTGGCTGGGATGAAGGGAAAGTGACTTGAGTTGGCGACTCTGCAGCATCCTGCCCGACCTGTTTACACACAGAGCAGAGTAAGGCAGCCTCCAGACACACACCCACGGCTCCAGCACCTGTCCTCTAACTCCAGGTGACGTCCTGCTTCCATCGCATTAGGCACGGCAGGGAGGCGGCGGCTGTTTGGAGGCCGAAAAACAAGCAGGAGACGCCAGGATGAATCTGTGCTGCCCAGTGTCCACTGCCCACACCCTGCCAGCTCAGGGCACTCTGCTGCTGACCCTCCAACACAGAGCTGACAACTGGCCGACTGCAGCTGGCTGCACAGGCAGGGGAGCGTGCGTGTGTGGGGCTTCTGCTACCGTATGACTTCAGTGGTATGACCTGTTAGAAGTTTACACTCGACACAGCAGGCCACATTTCTTAAAAGTAATATTGTGAACAGTGATGTTGAGTTATTAGTTTTGCATACGGTGAATGTTTTGACAGTAGCACTTTATTTGAAAGCTATCTACCTTCATAACATGCATAAGCATTGAATAACATGTTTATAAAGCAACTTTTGAAGCTTATAAGCAGCAAGATGACATAAAATGTTTTATGAAGTAAAATACATGTTATTGACGTAAGAGCCCTTAAGCTAAAATCAAAGACATTGTTTCATTTATAACACTGTTATAAAGCATTATTAATGAAACTTAGAAGGTAGATGGTTAGTTAAGTGGATGCCCTTTAACATACACATTTTCATAAATATTTTCAAATAATTTATTTCAGTTTGTGTTGATAAGTTCTTATAAGTGTACTTGGGTGTTAAAGTACCAAGAGTTATTACAGTTATTGTATTATTATTTTGTTATGTTATTACATTATTTTGATGAACATGTCTAAGTAGAACTGTGTTCTAATAGAAACTGTGCTTTTATGTAATTATTTGGGTATCATGCTTCACAACAGTGTCATAAATGGAAAAAATGCCTGTCGCTGCAGTTTATGGGCTGTTATGTCAATAAAATGTAACTTACATTATAAAACATCTTATGTCACCGCTATCTCTGACAGAGGCTGTTCGTTAACGCTCAAGGATTGCTTTATAAAAACAGCAGTTAAAATGCTTATAATATGTTATGCAGTCCTTTTGAAAGTAGCCTTCAAATAAATGTTCCCCTTTTTTTTTAATGTTTATTTGCAGTGAGGTGACAGGATTTCAAAAACAGCTGATTAAAAAAATGATTCGTCGTTTTGCACAATTCTATACAACAATCCTCGTCTGTTATGATCATTACCACAATGGTCTGGTGCAGCTTCTACAGCAAAAAAGTGCACTTAAGGCATTTTACAGGCGCTGTTGTCCAGAGCGATGCAAAATACTGTGGTGTCAGCGTAGAGTAAGACACGGGGGAGGCCAAGATTCCACCATGAGGAGTGCTCTATATTAAACCACAGAGGGGGAGGTCACCACTAGCCACTGGCTTTACCCTCACGGTAACATCTCTTTGGATCCAGCACCAGCCAGTAGCAGGTTGCGACAATGTCCTCGTGCTACAGAGGCAGGTCAATGTAGTGTTAGGAGTCTAGCCCAAGGACTTTTTCAATAAAGAGGTGCGTGCTTGGCCCGGCAGGGAAACCAAGCCAGTC